ACCACCACCACCACCACCACCATCATCATCATCTCCTTTTAATGACCCCATAATCCCTTGAGGGGTGGATTCTGGGCAATTAAATGGAGCTGCTGAGTGTTTCCTGGCCGGATGCTTTTCGAGCCGCCATTGCGGAGTTCTATTCGGCCGATCGATTCTCCTTGTGCCCAGAGAGAGAGAAATATCCGCCTCTGTCTAGGATCGAACTCCCAGCTCCTGATTGTGAGGCGAGAGCTCCACTCAACCTCTGGCCACTATTAAGCACCAAATTTCTCTTGCTAAGTGAGTGTTGCCTCGTTTCACGACCTTCCTTGCTACCCTGTTATTAAGGGAATCAGTGCAGTTGTTGCGTTATTCACACGGTTGTTGAGCGGATCCGGCCTCCCCGGTTGACTTTGCAGGTCGGACGGTCGCAAAAGGGGATCATGTGAGCTCGGGGCACGACGTCAACCGTCATAAATATGAGTCAGTTGCCTCTGAATGTAGATCATGTGACCGTGGGGATGCTGCAATGGTCCTCGGTGTGAAAAACAGTCCTCAGTACATTTTTTCAGTGCCGTTGTAACTTTGAACGGTCACTAAATGAATTGTTGTAAACCGAGGACTGCCTGTGTTGATCCTGACCGTGATGAAAATTTGGATGCTTGGAAACTGGCAGGTACTCACGACGGTTGCCTGGACCCCCAATTTGTAACCTTCCCAGCCGGCTTCCGACAAGCAAAGTCAACGGGGGGAAGCCAGATTCGCTTAACGATGGCACGATTTACTTAGCGACGGTGGTGTTTCGTTTGTAGCAAATCAGGCCGTAAACTGGGGCTCTTTGCTGGGTAGCCTGCTGCGAGTGCGAAGCAGTTGCGAATTCAAATCCTGTGTGGTCAGAGTGTACAGGTAGTCCTTGATTTCCAACGGCTCATTTAGCAACGGTTCAAAGTTTCAACAGGACTGAAAAAAAGGACCGTTTTTCACACTTCACGACCGCCCAGCCAACCCCATGGTCAGGTGATGAAAATTCAGACACTGGGCCACTGACTCGCATTTGTGACAGTCGCAGGGAGTCGCGTGATCCCCTTTTGCGACCTCCTGACAAGCAAAGTCAAAGGGGAAGCCAGATTCACTTAACAACGGTGTTACTCACCTAACGGCTGCAGTGATTCCCTTAAGAACGGTGGCAAGCAAGGTCGTAAAACGGGGCAAAACTCACTTAAGAACTGTCTCGCTTAGCAACAGGAATGTTGGCCTCAATTGTGGTCGTAAGTCGAGGACTACCTGTATTCTGCTTGGGCAGATCCCCATCGATCCTGGGCGGATCCTGCCAGCCGACCCATCCTGAAGCCGCCAGGAGGTTGGGGAGGCGGATGAATTAGATGGCCGGTTAAGACTCCGAGACGACACCAGATGCGAATTCTGCTCCTTCCCGTCCTCACAGGATTCCTTGCCTTTTACATGGATGCTTGGCTGGCCATTCCCTGCCAGGAGGCCCTGATTGCCCTGCAGGAGGGTAAGTGAGGGTTGGGGGCACCGGTCATGTCGGGGGGGGGGAGGGGGAGATACCAGGCAGCCTTTTGCAAAGGGAAAGTTTTGCAAATTGGGGTAGGGGCCTTCCATGGGGGATGGTGAAGAAAGAATTGTGCCACATCTGGGGAGATACGACCCCCGGCAAGTTGTGGTGTTTGAACCTCGGGTGCATCCAAGTGGAACCCCAGGGGTTCCCTGGCACCAAAGTGAGCTGGGAGGCATGGCAATATAAATTTAAAAAAGAAATGGGCAAACATGGATTGGGGTTAGCCACAGGTGACCAAAGAAACAACTTTAATTAAAGGGAAAAAAACGAAATATTTTTATTTCTATCTGGAAACCACGGCTGGACTTTGTGCTTGAGGTGGGGGGGGGGGGAAATGAAACTTTGATTTTGGGTTTTACTGATTCAATAGGTTTGTTGTTATAGGAAGGGCATATTTCTATAGAGATAGGTTTGTTGTTATATAGTAATATAAACTAGCCATTTCTATAAATGGCCTGTCTGTCTGTCTGTCTGTCTGTCTGTCTGTCTGTCTNGAAGAACATTTGAAGGACTGGGGGTGACATAATAGCACTATTTCAGTATTTGGGGAGGGGGGGGGTCAACCTATTCTCCAAAGCGCCAGAAGGAAGACAAGAAGATGGAATGGACGGAAACTAATCAAGGAGAGAAGCAACCTCGAATGAAGGAGGAATTTCCCAACAGTGAGGACCATTCATCCATGGGAACAGCTTGCCACCAGAAATTGTAGTTGGAAGGCTTTTTTAAAGGAGAGATTGGACAGCCACGTGTCTGAGAATGCTACAGGGTCTCCTGCTTGGGCAGGGGGCTGGACTAGAAGACCTCCAAGGTCCCTTCCAGAATTGGTATCATCCGCTTTCTTTGCGTGCCCCCTTAAAGGCGAACGGCACCATTTCCTCCCGTCCCAAAGGACGGTTAATTAAATTAAATTAAATTAAATTAAAATACAGGCCTTCCGACCCTCTTCGCCGGGGGGGGGTCTGCCCCACTCCTGGCTGCCCCCTTGCAAATGCTTCCCTCCCCCCTTCCCCCTGCTCTCCCCTTGCAAAGAGGCTCAGGGCAGCCCCCTCCCCTTTCTCTCTCCCCAGGTTCTGTGGTACCCCGACAAGATTGTGGTCTTCCTGTCTTGTACGGTGAATTTCCTGAAGAGCCCCAAAGCCCCCCTGCGCAGGGCGGCCGGGGTCTTTGCAGGTGAAGGGTGGGGGTGTCCACCTCTTGGGGAGGGGACCCCTTCCTGCTTCCCCCTGGACAGCAATTCTGGCCCAGCCCTTCTCCATGGGACGCTGTGTCGAGGCCAGCCACGCTGATGCCCCCCCCTTCCGGTCCTTGACTTACCACCCTTCCCTTAGTGACCGTCCGAAGGAGGGCAGCACTGAAAAAAGTGACAGGACCCGATTTTAACACTGCAGGCTCCCCAATACAGGTAGTCCTCAACTTACGGAAAACAATGGACCCAAACTTTATGTTGCTAAGTGAGTTTTGCCCATTTTATGACTTTTCTTGCCACTTATTTTACAGGTAGTCCTCGACTTACGACCACAATTTTCCCTCCTCCTCCTCCTCCTCCTCCTCCTCCTCCTCCTCCTCCTC